TTGACAACTTTAACACTTTTAACAGGTGGCAGCCCCCTTAAAAATATTTTCAAAATAAATAGTTTTGTAACCCCTTTCGTTTTACACCTATGATCGAGGAATATCTACACTAGGGTGGTCCAAAATAAGTAAAGTCGGAATTTTAATGCTCTCACCCCCTAGGATTGTTCTATATCGAAAAAAAGTATACCCCTATTTTTTATTTTGAAACCAAAAAATATTTAGAGGTCGCTCAAAGCGCTCCAACTTTTCCATGTATTTTGTATTGAAAAAAAAAAAAAACTTTTCGTGGAAATGGTATGGAAATCTTGAAAATCAATATTTTTCGATCGGAAAGCTCTTGTTCTCTTCAGGAAACTTCCAATAACAATATCCAATTATTTATTTAACCATTTTTTCAATAATGAAAATTTTTTATTTATCCCCCATTGCATTTTCTGGCATTTTCTAGGGGTTTTGGCGGTCCTATAAAATAAAATAATAAAAAGTAACTATACTTAGAAAAAAATTTTAAAAATAATTGGGTTTTATAATTGGGAATCTGTTGAAGAGAAGCAGAGTCTTCCGATCGAAAAATATTGGTTTTCAAGAATTCCATACCATTTTCAAGAAAAGTTCTTTTTCCCCATATAAAATATATGGGAAAACTTTGAGCGCTTTGAGCGACCTCTAAATATTTTTTTATTTCAAAATAAAACATTACGGGTACGCTTTTTTTGATATAGAACAATCCTAGGTGGAGAGAGCATAAAAATCCCGACTTTACATTTTTTACATGCATTTTTGGACCACCCTTATCTACACATATGTACGTACATAACTGTGTATCTCTCTCCTCTTCAGGGGCGTCATCCCAGATAAAAAAAAAAAACTGTGTATGTATTTATCTTGAAACTTATCAAAAATTGGTCATGATGTTCTTTTTATTACAACACTGAATCCTTAACCTTCACATATCGTCACTGGCACAATAAGGTAGAGATATATATATACGTACTCGTATACATTTTTATCTTAACAAACCTAATCAAAATTCTAAAGACGGCTAATCAGTTTCATGATGTCCTTGGTGAATGACTTTGAGAGTTGGATTTGCGTTTCATACATTTTGGAGAAGATATGTTTATCGAACGAAGCACAGCAGGGATGGAATTTCAAAATTTCAAAATGTGCCTAATAGTCTTCAAAAATAGTGCCGAAAAGAAGATGAAAGTGCCACAAAATTAAATTTCTTCTAAGGCATTTTAAGAACAATATATTTTTAGAATAATATTTTTAAAATACACTGAAGCAATATAATAATTTTTAATTAACTAAATTATTACAGTAAATCACTTCTATGAAGGATTCCTTATAAGAGGGGAGCTCAAGAAGGGATTCGGGGATTTACTCGATTAACATAAAAAAATTGATAGGTGGATTTAATCGAGCGCGTCAGATCAAGAAATGGTGGGTTTAAATTTTGTATGAAAAACATGCCATAGATAGGGCTTTTTTGGTAACAGGAATCCTTTTCTGCACTTAGTTTTTCTTAAAACTTCCACCGGTAAATTCCAGTAAAAATTTTCATATTTTTTTCGAAACCTATTTTCGCAATTAGGCAAACTAGATTTAAGACTCATGGTTTCTTCGGCAAATCTACTTATAATTACAGGTAGAATCCTTCTATGCTATACGCGCATAGTCACAAAAAAAATTTACCCGCCCTGATGTATAGATATATGTGCATATGTATTTAAACGATATTTATCTGAGAACATGAGTTTAAATTTATTTGCATACATATGTCATATCTTAGTTTCATCTTAAAAATCGCAAATCATTCAAAATCCAACAGCGCGCAATGTGATTTGTCTTGTGATAGCAGCAGCAAAATGTTGTTTAAATTTATTGTATTTTGTAAATAAGAGTACTTACATATTCTACACAACAGTGAAGTTAAATAGCGAAAGCAAATAGTTGAATACATATTTACATTTCTTAATATGTAGATATGTATATACATATATCATATATGAATGCAAATACGCATGCACATTAGCCTGTACCACTATGTATGGACCGAAAAAATTTCAATTTGATCCAAGCCATTTCTGACACTCACTAGGAGAGTATTTTAGAAGAGCAACACTTTTTTCGGCACACTGTTAAAACAGCAAAATCGGGTATTTTCTACATATGACATTTTTATTTTAACTCCGATTCCTATAAATGATACATCGTTGTAAAGGTATTAAGAAAGCCTACAGTTGTATATAGAACTACAGTGCATGCGCGATAATGTGAACACCGTAAAATATAAACACCCCAAAATATTTACACTTTTTATTTTGCATTGACTACTCTAAAGAGTGAACAGGACTTAAAAGCTCTAAAAGATGAACAATATATAACATCTTTATATGAATTCTTACAAATTGATAATTTATAAATACATGAAAATTTCCAATTGCTGAGTTCGGGGAATCCCGTACTATTGCGAAATATACGTATTTGGCTTGAAAATTACGCACGTAGCTTGGGCACGTTATGGTTTAATTTTTGCTAAGGGCTCCAAAAAGTATTTGCGATTAAAAGAAAAAGCAGACATCTAAGATCTGAAAAAAGGAACAAGTGTAACTAAGAAGTAGAAGCAGAAAAAAGTTGCTGATTCCTTTTTAGTAGGTACATAACGCGTTTCATTCCTGTGAATGCAAGATGGGTTTTATTAAACGAATTTTGGTTTAAAATGAATACTTAAAATTTTTTAATGCAAGTATTTCTGTACTCTGTTCTTTTTTAAGTAAATCCATTAAATTTGGTTTTAGAAATGTAAATATCAATTAAAAAATGCATCATAGGGGGATATTTTTGCCTTAATTTTTAATTTCGTGAACCCACTTGGTTTTAATTAGTTCGCATTATCGAGCGTGCACTGTATTATCATATCTCATGATCTTTGCAAGTTATGTTGATATGTCTGAAAACGACACCCTGTACGCAATATTGTGTGCCATAAAAAGAATCTCCATGTTAAATTATAACCATTCTGCAAAAAAAATACTAGCCCATTTTCATTAAGCTTCCTGCTATTGGTTACAAGGTGTCGTTTTCATGAAAATTTAAAACTTTTTTGTTTGCCATGATGGAATAATTCTCTTTTTAACCGACTTCAAAAAATGGAGGAGGTTATCAATTCATCGGAATATATTTTTTATTATCTTTTTTTAAGAAAAGGTGGTACCTCATGGGTGGTCCCATACTAATTTAGTTTAGATCCGAACATTTGATCTTGAAGAAATTAACAATGATCTTAAATTTTTATATGGGAATTGAAGTCGCTTTTGTTTTTTGCTTAAAAATTACTTATTTTAATACCTTAACAACGGTATCAATTAAAGAAGTTATAGAAAAACCCCGATTTGGTTATTTTTACAGGGTGCCGAATTTACACTCCTTAAATACTCTCACAGTGAATGTACGAAATCGCTTGGAAAAAATTCAACTTTTTTGTTTGTGACAGTTAACACATCAAGTGTCAAGCATCACACCAACGCATGTATGTAAATCATTTCCGAAAGTATTTTAATGATAATGGAAAGCAATGCAATAAATGTTACTTCTTTATCAGGGCAGAAAAAGTACACAGAGAAAAACAGAACATATGTATGTACATATGTGCATCTATGTAAATACATACGTGTGTTCATAAAGTAAATACGAAGCCAAGGTTAAGGTAATCCGTTTGCGTTTGTATAAGTCTCAAAACAAAATTGTTTATAATACATACATACATACATAAATACTTCCCTTTTTCTAAAATAAACTCAAAGTAAATGCGCTGAGTTGTTTTGTGCCCTTGCAATCGTACTATCCGCTATTTATTATAGATATTACAAGCGTTTATGATATTAAATTATAACTGTTATTATTAAATGGGATTTTGATGATTTCACAGTGAAACACTCAAAAAGTGATGGGAATGAGACAATTTCATTCATTAAAAGAGGATTCCGATAGAATACCTAACCAAATATAATATTTGTATGGCAAGATTTTTCTTTAAGGCGACAAACCCCGACAAATGGGCGTGGCAATTGCAGGACTAAAATTAACTGAACGCAGACTTTATTAAAAAAAAAATAATAATACAAAAAATTGTGTATTCTCACAAAATAAACCATCTCGTCATAAAGAAAAATATTTTAAAAATATTTCTTAAAAAATGCCCATTTTATAGAGCCACGTATTTTATAGAGAATTAACCAGGGATTACGATGGTATAATTTTAAATCCCTAATTTACTGGTCTTCACTATGCAAATCGACTTTAAAAAGTTCAACTGTTCAACTGTGGGTTCACGCCGAGTTTCCGGCCAACATAAAAAAAGGAAAAGAAAGTATATATTTTCTAATAGCGGTCGCCACACAAATGGTTAAATAAACAATTGGGTATTATTCTTTTTTTCCCATATAAAATACATAGGAAGCTTTGAGCACTTTGAGGGACCTCTAAATATTTTTTTGATTAAAAAAAACAAATTTTTTTCTATATAGAACAATCCTAGGCGTGAGAGCATTGAAATTCCTATTTTACTTTTCTCATATGCATTTTTGGGTCA